AGTTCAGGATAAACCTTTCTAAAAGGAGGGAGTAATTATTATATACTAGAATACTAGTAATCCTCTATTACTAAGCTAAGGCTTGCTTAGAATATTATTTATCTAAATACTAATATATAGAGTAAAAATAGGAGAATCTAAACAGCTTAGTAGGAATTAGGTAGTTTATTCTAATTATTATAATATATATATTTTTCTTAGCAGACCTATATACAGTAATAACCTTATAGTTATACTAGCACCTTATAGCCTAGATAATAGCCTTATATCTCTAGGAAACCCATAAGCTAATTACCTCTGAGTAGCTTATAATAAGGTTTTTTTATTACTAATCTTATATAATTAGGATTCCACTTCCAGAACTGCTAGATATTAATTATAATCCTACTACTAATATAGACTTTTACCAGTTGCTCCTTATATGGGAATTGTGATAAATATATTTCTATTATATTAGTAATAATAATAGCTAATAAGTAATACAAACCTTTAATTAGCTAATACTAGGCATAACCAGATTTCTAGATCAAGGTGAAATTCTAATAGATATACTAGGAGGTTCTTAATCCTGCAGGCTATAGAGAATATTTTAATCTATAAAGTCTTAGTAGATTTACTGAATACTTCTCTATTATAATTAAAATACTAATACTAGATCTTAAAATAATCACCCTTCTAGACTATCTTTATCTCTTTACTATAGCTGTAATAAACACACCAGGGCAGATCTATAGAAGGTAGAGTTGCATTTGGTGCAAGTTCAGGCAAGTTCAACCTTAGTTAGCACTGAACCACTGCAGTTTTAAGTTTAAATTTTAGAACCTGCAGCTTAGACCTAGTGTGATTTAGTAGTGGTTTCACTATAAAAACCCGCCACTAGGCCTAGCTAGGCCCCTACTAACTAACTATGGTTAGATTTGGGTTGGGTTTGATTTGATTTGGGGACCTGAAATTACTGAATTTTAATAGTTTTTGAATTTTAATGCCTTATTAAATACTATATTATCTATCATAATATTACTATACTAATTAAAAATTATTATTTTTATATAAAATATATTATAATTATCATTATACTAATCTATATCTAAAATTTTAATTCAATATCTATAGGGCTGAATGGGGGGTAGTTAAAAAATCATTTTTAAACCATAGTAGTTATTAACTATTAGTTATATATATATATATATCTATACTACTTTTATACCACCCCATGACAAAAATAATTATTCCTCTATATCTCAGCATCCACTAGGTATTTTAAATTAATATTTATATTATTAGATAGCCTAGATCAGGGGCTATCTAATGATATTAAAAATATTAGAAGATCCCTAGAAATAACTAATACTAGGTAAAACAGATTGGGCAGTTTCACCTAATCCGCAAAAACTGTAAAAACCATAACTGATGGTTTCCCCTAATGGATTCAATTCAGTGCTAAGAGAAATTGAAACTGGTGCAGTTCCCTAGGCTAGGCACTGAACCCAAACCACTCTGGGTTTGGTGAGGTTCAGGTTTGATTTTTGCGGTTCGGTTATGCAACTCTAATAGAAGGGCAGGTTATATATAGCAGTGTGCCTGGTTTAAAGAATACCTATAATAAGTTATATATTATCTTCTTATAAGTTAGAAGTAAGTTTATTTAGCTAGTTATTAACTTATATACTTCCTCTAGATACTTAATTAGCAGAGTTAGATATTGCATGCCATCCTCTTCTATGGTATTATTATTAGAGCTAGTGCTAAAACTTTTTAACTCTAGAAGGAAATAGATTATTAATTCCTCTCTACCTATACTACTATTAGTAAGAAAGCCTATATAAAGTATAAGTAGCTATACCACAGGTTTATTAGCTTTAAGTCCTACTATTCTAATATCTTTTAGAATATATCTCAAGATGTCTCACAGGCCTAGTGACTTAGTATCTATATAGATGATGACACTATGCATTTATTTCTCTAGATACATATTAGATAGTTAAAGAGCTAAAATAATCAGCTGTACTTACAGATATGCTTATGGATGATGAATATAAATTTATCTAACTTACTCAGTACTCACATCCTGCGGGGGAGAGGAATTAATAATCTTATACTTATATACCTTAGAATCCCAGCTGCAGTTATAATTAGCAGATGTGGAATACAGATAGTGCTAGATATATGCTTCGTTGACGGTCTTGTACTCTATCCTGGAGGCCAGGATCCTTTTGTCCTCGCTATCCTGATTATTCTCTGCCTTTTCAGGTCCAGCGGGACCACTCCCCGGAAGCCGTTTGAGGTTTGCATTCAAGCACCCTCTTTAAGGATCGTCAACTCTCCCTATCAATTCGCTCGCTAGCTGTGGAATTACCAAGGCAGCAGCGTTACAAGAGCTATCCGCATGGTCCAAGGCATTCCAGAGCGAATATGGGCGTACGTCAGGTCCCTTTTCACTGCGAAGTTGCGCTAATCCCACCAGATGCTGTCTCTAGTACTGCGACACCAGAGTCCCAGCCATCCGCTAAAAGAACATACCGGGATCCCCAGCCTCCCGGATATTTCCCAATTTCTCCTGAATATCAAGCCAGTCGCGAAGCTAGTTTGGCAGGCTTATCAGAGTTGAGCACTGCAGCAGCTTCAGATTCTAGTTATACGGGGGAAAGTGTTCTATCGACCAATCCCCGAAATGATCGATTTGCTACGGGATTATGTGTCAGTGACTCCCAGAGCCAGACCCAAGCAACAGCAATAAGTACATCTATGGACATGGTGCAACACCTCGATCCATTGGATATCACGGAAATGCCTGCCGCGTTGACACCCGCCGATTATCCCCAGAATTTCACGTTGCCTTCCGTCATGATACCTGCTGATCACCCCCAACTATACCCATATCAAAATCCGGCTGTTCTTACGCCCGCAGAATACCTACAGATGTTTCCTTTCAACATAGAGCAGGGTACCGATCTACCCAACGCGCAGCGAGTAATATCTGCGCGACTTCCATACTCTGGCCCACTATCGGGGGTGCAGCAGTACATATTGCCCGCAGGAATCCCAGTGGTATAATAACTTTTGCTATTCAGAGGATGGAGGAAGCGCCAAGACGAGGTATAGTGCGGGCGTCAAAGGCGATGGGCAGGCCGGGAAGAAGGGTGGGCTGGCCTGGTTCGGACAAAAGGCGAGGCCGACCAGAAATAATCGCGACAGGGATGATGAATCCTCATTTCCCAATTCCGTTTTTTTCTAATATTTTTGTGTCTTCGAGAACTTTCCATGCTTGGAAACCGTACCCGCGAAGGTAATCAGGAAGGTCACTTGTAGCCTGCACCAGCACAGATTTCAAGCCGGGATCGTCACAAAAGTATAATTCCCGATCGTCCTTCTTCCAGCTTGCGGTTTTAAGGAAAGAGGCGAGGCCATCCATGGATGTGGGAACCTGTTTGTTCCACAGCGTTCTTGTTAGCGTGTGATTGATCTAGCGAGCGATGAAGTAGTTTGCGATCCGATGTACAGGCCCCGATAACCATCTGCTTAGGATTTCCCGCAACAGTTAGCATTGTAAGGAGATCGAAATCATTCCAAACCCACTTAGCGATTCATTCTATTCGAATGGTTTTCGGCGCGAAGACAACAATCTGAAGAGTTGGAGGGGCAGAAGTCTTTGATGGCAAATCTTATGAGGCGGGGCTCAGGTGGGATGAGATGATGCCGGATCCGGCACGATTGCTTGGTTGTCCCACTGCTGTTCGTCACGGCCACACCGCAGATGGCCCAATACCAGGTAGCAGGTAGTTTCCCTCGCGCATATAGAAAGGGAAGAAGTTTATTATTTCTCGCACAGGACTGAGGTTTATCCGAACGGAGTTCTCGCAAAAAAAGTCAAAAGGGGGCAAAGCGAGAACGGGAATCCACTGTCATGGAACCTTCGCGATTTTTCCGGAATATTTTCCCAAACTTTGGTGGGGTAGAGTCGGGGTCAAAAGCTGATGGCTATGTACCACACAGCTCAACTGCGCAGGAATCCGGCATCACCTCGCAGGAAACCCTATATCCCAGAGGATGTATGAGTATTTTTGATCATTCCCATCCCTATTCCAGCAGCACGATGTTTTGGTCCATGGGAGTCCGTCAGCGAATGATAGATATAAAAGCTATCGGTACCAGGGACTGCAGACACAAACTAGATGTTGAACTACGCAGAGTCTTCGGCCCACAAAAGATAGTCTTCCAGAGGACAATCGATGGGGGAGGTAACTAGGGGGTCTAAGCAAGGGGCACAGTGGTTAAGTGCAACCAATGACCGCTAGGAATAAGTATTACGTAATCCATTTGAGGAGTTTCGACCTCCAACCCCCTATATATACGACTGCTCTAAACCAGTAATCTGCTAAATGTCAAATGCGGGTTCTTTCTTTAGGTGGTGTATAAACATTTCATTTCATTTATTTAACAACATTGGTTTTTCGGCCCTTTCATGATGTTTTCCATCGCACGAAATATCTATGTTTCAATATTCTCCACACTCCAAACCCTATACTACCCGTTTAATGTTGTATTTGGATTCGCCTGCAGAGCTCTGCGTGGTTGGAAGTGGCAAAAAAATGGCACCGAGGTGCTTGACATATCTTCTTCGTCTAGTTTAAATACTGTAAGAGCCAGTACACACCACTCCTTGGGTTCCATCCTTACGAATATAGGCCGGTGTGACAAGAGCTGCAACTGACTTGGTCACCCATCCACCGTCCAACGTTGAAGTTGTTGAAATTCGTCGATATTGTCCACCGGGTGTTTCGAAGATAATTGGTCGCGGCGGAGAGTGTTTTATCGGGACCATCGATGAATCAACGGTTCTAAAATACCCTTGCATCCCCAGCAATCGCGAGTCCATTCAAATAGAGGCCCGGCTCCTTGAGGTCCTTGGAAAGAACCCCCAGATCATCGCCTCGAAAGGCCTTAATGATTTTGGCCTACTCTTGCAGTATGCTCCGAATGGGAATCTCTACGACTACATCATGTCCGAACCGACTATTTCCTTCGATCGAAGACTGCGTTGGTGCAAGCAAGCGGCTGAGGCAATCAAATATATACACGAGAAACGCGTCATTCACTGCGATATTAACCTTCGCAATTTTCTACTGGACGATAACTTTGACCTCTTGCTTTCGGATTTCCAGGGGATGTTAAAGTCGGCTCATGGCGAAACGTTGATAGACGGACTATCTCGGGAGTGTTCAAAGTCGTTCATGCCTCGGGCCCATGGAGATTATGCAGATGTGAAAACTGATATTTTCGCGCTTGGTAGCGCAATCTATTTCATCATAACAGGGCATGAAGTTTTTCCGGAATTGGATAGCTTGGAAGATGATGAGGAGATAGCATCACGGTTTCAAAATGGACAGTTTCCCACTGATGACCATGCATGCTATCATATCACTGAGAAGTGCTGGAAGCAACAATACGAAACTGCTGAAGATATTGTTTCTGATATCCTACAAATCCAGATGCTACGAAACGTTGGAAAGGAACCTTCTTGACGGTAAGGGAACAACAGCAATGGATAGATAAAGCGATTGAAGAAAGCAAATCTCATTCTCGAAGTAGTTCCGGCGTCTTCCCTCACTTGTTTCGGTTATAGCCATAGAAAAAATTCCATATCCTCGCCTACAACTTCTTGTACTCAGCCATCAGCACTTCGGGCATATTCCTCCTTTTTTGGTGGACTGCCCCATGTGCCTATCCTTATATCCCTGACAGTCTGATTTGCCACATGGTGGCTGAGGGTCGTAGGTTATAATGACATGCTTCGGCTGCGCAGTGCAGTTGACGAATTTGGTGGTATATACGAATCGGTCACACATGGTGATCTTGGGAAAGTTGGAGGCGAAAGCCCTGATGGGTTTCAGTTAGTCTTAGAGGCATCGTCCAATAAAGTATCCAAGGTGATATAGCGTAATGGGGCTTACACTGCTTGTCAGTTGAGCTCGGACTATGAGGGTAGCGTCTGTTCTCTAGAGCTAAGACGAAGAGCAATGGGCTTTGAACAGGAAATTATGATCGTGTGTTGTGTAAAACCCATTGTGAGGAGATATCTACACAGAATTTATATTTCCTGGCGACTATAACGCCGTTTTCCATCTGGGCGTCTAACCACACTTGCGTTATCATGGGACTCTTCCAGTGCATACTCCCCTCTGGGAATTGGCGGACAGAGAGCTTCCCTGGGCCCGGCTTGAGAAGGAATCTGTCGGAGTTTTGCTAGAAGGGACATGAAATTGCTGCAAAGGGCATTAGTCGAGAAACTGACATTCTTCGCTTGACCGGTCAAGATGTTCGAAACACCGAGCGGCGTAGCGTTCGGATCCCCATCTCATGCTTAATACGTTTCGATCCTTGCGCTCGACCATACAGTCTCACTATCAAATGATCAACCAGCACCTGCTGGCCAATCTATCAATCCTCTTTGGGTGATTTGCGGGCGCACTGACCAGTAAGGTGGGTTTTGTGATGCAGGCGCAGCACATTAGTCACAAGCTCATGTCACATCTGCTGGCTTATAAGATCTACCACCGCTTCACCTAAGGAGGGGCATTAATCCAACAGGCGCTAAGCCAGGCAACTTAATTAGAGGAAAGTCTAGACTATAAGACTCTTAAGTGTTTCACTATGAGTGCATAGCCACAGTCTTTCCTTCTTTTAGATAATTGGCCAAGGGTTGGGCTGGGGCACCCTTTTGAGGGAGCCTGCTTATTTTTATGCTGTAAGTGTACATCGTTGTTTAGATGTTCTTAGTTGTTTGATGTACCGAGTCCTCTAAGCATCTGCTACTTCTATAGTAGGATTATGTCACATGCGTTCCGGTACAATGACAGACTTGGAAGTGAAGAAGCTTAGAGCAATCTCCCATTGCCGCATAATGCACGAGAGATTTCTTGAACTTGGGCCCTTGAGGGTTCAATAACCTCCCACGGGCTTCTGTCATTCAGAATGTTACTATGATGAAGACTTGTCCTGGATAACCAGAAAGTCCGGACTGGTGGTGGTCCATATCAGTATTGTCCGACATCGTGTCGCGGCGAGGTGCGAGCTGGTGATATATTGAAATGGGTGAGAAAGGCCTTCAACAGCAAAGTGAAGTGTGACATGAATGGATAGACTCAAAGGCAGTCGGTTGGTTGCTCTCTTCTCGTTTTCCCAGGTTCGACTTCTTTCAGAAAGGGGGTTTGCAATCCAACTGACTTGTCGCCAACTTTATTGGAGCACAGAAAATTGCACCAAAGCCCTGCTCTTCTGGGGCCAGGTCGAATCCGGAGCCGGACTTTTAATATCCCGTATTAGCCAATCACAATCCACAAAATGGACCGGTACTGTGCTGCTGTGAGCTCTCTCGACACGCTTGCTGCCCAACATGTTAACTAGTTAGTTATGGGCCCACGCTGACAAACCCCGCACAAATCTTCCTACCAGTAAAGAGGAAAACAAGAATCATTCCTCTCCTCAAAACAACTTAAATTATCCCACGATGTCTTCTGAGGAAACGAAGTTCTACTCAAATCTTGCTGCAGTGATAAAGCCTTCAGAGCAATTTAAGCGGTTAGATGTTGGCTTCGACAGTGAAGTGGTCAAGACCGCGCTTTGCTCCTGAAACCTATGTCTGGTCGCTCGTCTGCCCGTCTTCCCGTCTTCCCTCTCTCCACTAGATACTCTTGTACAGAAGATGCTTCCTCCGCAATGATGCTTGGACTAAGTCGGAGAGTCCTTTAAACAACGCCCAGACCTTACACCGAATTATGGATTGGCTCGGCACCAGATTCGGAAGACGTATAAGCCATAGGACGCCGCAAAGCCTGTAAGGCGTCACTAGCCTTCGCCAAATGGTATTGATCATCGGAGATAGTGCTTTTGAACAACTGAAGGCAACTTCGGACAACTATGGGCAACTACCAGCAACTGCGGCCAACAGGTCTGCGGGCGCACTGACCAGTAAGCAGCGGGTTTTGTGATGCAGGCGGCACAAGCTGTAGCCACAAGATATCCTCAAATAATCCCTGCATCCGTAACATTCTGGCGGTGCTTTAGCGTCGTGGCTTAATGCCAGAGGTTCAAGTCTATCAAAAGAAAGCTATTTACAATGGACACTAAAACCTTTTTCTACTGGATACTGCGTATGACAACAAGCCACTATTTACCATGGACACTAAAGCCTTTTCCTATTGGATACTGCGCATGCGTTAGGTAGGCATATTGCAAGCATGAGAAAGTTACGCTACGTAACTATCTCACAATTCTTGATAGCTTTCAGCCAAAGAATGTAGAGTGTGTTTACCTATCCCCATCATAGAAGCCGATTGGTAGATCCTCGCACAGCTGGAGAAAGAGCATCACCACTCCAGCAAGTCATCCTCCGATGGCACGGATCCTGACTCTAGCCGAAAGATTTGGGAGCCTGTGTGTACCATCCGGTGCGCCCGCCAGATTTACCTACGGAGTGAAAATGAGTTCCTTAGCATTGTACTTGTGATTTGAAGCTCGCCCAACAAATGCTAGATAGGCCAGGCTTGAGGCAGCCTGCATTGGGCCAAAAGTCGTAGCCAATATTGTAACTGTATAAAGATACCTAGCCTTGTCGTAGGTCCTTGGTGGATAGTTGCACTGACTAGTCATGTCCTTCATCATTTCAAGCGCTTTCGCACCCTTGCGCGGACTCATTGCGTCCTGTGTAAGATGGAATACACCCCAAGCCAACAACAGAGAAGGTACATGCGAGCAAAAGTGTGACGAAAATGAATCTAGCAGCATCGTGACTTCTCCCCCCGGAGAAACTGAAAGCCTTGCCCTACCAAGGGCGACTACGACTTCCCCTCCAGCACATTTGGCATTTCCATATCCTGATTTTAGCCCTGTGCCAGTGAGAAGTGGATATTTTCGACCACGCAAATCACTGGCATTTGAGACGCTGTTAGTGAAATTCGAGAAGTACAGAGAGCTAGCCACAGTGTTCAACCGCAGGCTGGTGGGCATAAATTTTGAAGCTGTTTTCGAGGGCGACAACAGGAGCGTTATTAAATGTCCACTACAGCTTTCTGGAGACTCTGTTCCTCCAGGTGACTGGCTCGCTGTTCATGACCATCTGGAGATAGCTCGATCCCTTATCCCTATTGGCGTGTGGGAGTATTTGGAGACAACAGATGGGGTGAATTAAGAAGATTGTCTTCAGATTAATGAACGACAATATGAACCGCTATACTTGGGCTTGGCGGAGTCCATCCAGGAACTTGATTTCACACGCTCAGGTGACCCTTCTGGAATGAACATGCATCTGCCTGAGCCTCTAAAACCTGGCAACTCACTACAGCATCCTCAATCTAAGCTCAGGCATGATCACCTGGTGGAGCTGCTTGAACCTGCAGGTATGCTTATACTACAGTCCTTTGCTTAACTCTGTTGCATGTACTCATAGGTGATTCCAGACTCGCCAGACAGCTCTGCACTGCGCCACACTAATTGTTGATTGGGGTCCTGTGCGCTGAGCAGCTCTAGCCCTGCACAGCAAAAACCTTCTTGGGTTGGCCTTTCTTTGAGGTGGCTTGGATGCAGATGCTGTGATTTTCCCCTCTATGCATGTTCACGCAAACTCTTGACGTGCGGACGTACCTCAATAGAGACCTGTAGCTTGTAGCACCTAGAATGATGATCCTGGAAAAGATGTAAGGTCATGGATTCCAGGAACAGATATCAAACAAAGGAGAAGAGCACTCTGCCGGGTAATTGGTGCTGAGGATGGCAGCAAAGCGAAGCCTAGAGCTTGTCTCACACATCAACCAGTATATAGTTATATTTCTCTCCCTTTTTTTATCTCCTTACTGTTACCTTTTTATCATTGTGTCTTGCCTGTTCATGATCACCTCTTCTCAGACCTTGAAGTGCTAGAATATATTTCTTTCTTATTTCATAACACTGAATAACGTGAGCAGGCCTGAATAATGTTCACTACTTTAGCTAATATTCTCATTTCTCTCTTCTTAAGATGTGTTTTCAGATTAGTCTTAAATACAGTTGTGGCTATGAAGATAGCCATGTTCTTCCATGTCGCCGTTCTGATTGCCAGGGATTGAGTCCAAGGGAGCCTCAGAAGCTGAGATATCCTTGCAAGAAAGAAGACTGCTCTGTCTGTACTGCTTCAGCAAGATAGCAAGGATCCATAATCTGGTACGTTTCTTTCCTAGCCACATTCAAGCGAGGCTGACATTGTCGTCAAGGCTCTCAGCTGGTACGATTTTACAAGTACCGCGCTACCATTATCAGAAATGAGTGGGTTATTATTTCTAGTTCACGGGATGGACTTGAGATTTAGTTTTATTTTATTCTATCGGGCGGGTCCTTCAAAAAGCAACTTGACATGGATGTAGTTGAGACTCAGCTGAAGTGTGTTCAGAAGGCTTTGGACAGGTTTGAGAAGAGATTATTGGACACGACTAAAGGGCAAATTCCTTTAGCTAGAACTCAATCTTTGTTCTACTTCCTTTTATTTTACTTA